GCGCTACCACGCCCGGCTGATTTTTTGATTTATTGTAGAGATGGGGTCTTGCTGCCCAGGTGGGTCTCGAACCCGCGGGCTCAGGCAATCCACTCACCTGATCCTCCCAAAGGCGTGGGATTACAGGCTGAGCCACCGAGCCGGCTTATTATTATTTTTTGAGTTGGAGTCTCACTCTGTAGCCCAGGCTGGAGTGCAATGGCACGATCATGGCCACCCCAGCATTGACCTGCTGGGCTCAGGTGACCCTTCCACCTCAGCCTTTCAAGTAGCTAGAACTACAAGCATGCACTACCACGCCTGCCTAATTTCTTTGATTTATTGTAGAGATGAGGGCTCGCCAAGTTGCCCAGGCTGGTCTTGAACCCATGGGCTCAGGCAGTCCTCTCACCTCAGCCGCCCAAAGTTCTGGGATTACAGGCTTGAGTCACCGTGCCTGGCAGCTTAAAATATTTTAAACTCCCAACAGCTTTGATTTTGAGTTCCTTATGTTCACACTGCAGAGTAGAGATTCAAATCCAGTTGTGACAAGAATGTGTGCTTCCCACTCTATGCCTTTCTGTTTCATGGTACGTGTGAAATCTAGGCGAGATCTGTGAAAACAAAATTATCGCACTTTCCTTGAAGTTGGGTATGGGTGGCCTTTAAGGGTCTGGGTAGTCTTTGATTACAAAGGCATTGAAGACAATGTGACTCTAGATTGACAAATCTCACTCTCCTGACAATAAAAAATCAAGTAAGAAACTTGGCCTCATGGGCCGGGCAAAGTGGCTCACGCCTGTAGACGAGAGATCAGCCTGGGCAATATGGTGAGACGCTGTCTGAATAATAAATAAAAAAAATTGCGAGGCACAGTGGCTCAAGTCTGTAATCCCAGCACTTTGGGAGGCTGAGGTGAAGAATTGCCTGAACCAAGAGTTTGAGACCAGCCTGGACAGCTTGGCGAGACCTCATCTCTACAATAAATAAAAAAATTAGCCTGATGTCATGGCTCGTGCCTGTAGGCCCAGCTACTTAGAAGGCTGAAGCAGAAGGATCGCCTGAGCCCAGCAGGTCAAGGCTGTGGTGGCCGTGAGTATGCTACTGCACTTCAGTGTGGGCAACAGAGTGAGACTCAGATTTTTTTAAAAAGTCTTGAAAATAAGAGCATGCCAATTCATCTTCTTTCTTTTTCCCTTCCTCCTTATCCCTAGGAAATGTTCTGTGAAGGTCAAGTGTGCAAACAGACGTTCCAAAGAGCCTGATCCGTACCCAATGGCCGGGTGATCGTGGCAGCAGCTTCATGCCAAGTTATACTGTGGAATGGATCAAAGTGAATCCATCCCATTCGGTGATGCGCCTTGCAGGTGGAGAGATTCCCACAGTCAGTAACCAGAAGTCACTTAGACTGTGGGAGAAATGCTGAGCTTCAATAAACCTGCTCAAGTGACTCTGAAGTTTTTCTTTCTAAATTTAGCAAAGCCCATCAGTTTAAGGCATCTCTGAGCGCCTCTGAGGTGCACGAGGGATCTGCCAATGAACAAGATGTGATTCCTGCCTTCAAGGCTAGTGAGGAAGCTGCACAAACAAGCAACCTGAACGGCCGTGCTAAGTGCAGGCAGTGACGAGGGCTCAGGAGGGGCAGATTGGACTCTCGGGGATGGGCAGGCAGTGGCGTTGACAGGGGTCTGAGTAGAAGTGACCTTCAAGCTAAGACCTGAAGCTTAGGTAAACTGGTGCCATCGGGAAGCATTTTAGGTGACAGGCTGGAAGGAAGTTGGAGGGAAGTCTGAAAAACTGAAAAGGTAGCTTAGCTAGCCACAGGGTGGGTGGGCGACTGGGAGGGATGACAGAGGAGAGGAATGTCAGACTGGGGCCCTCTCATGAAGGGACTTGTATGCTGAGCTAAAGAGGTAAGAGTTTAAGTCAGCCGTAGTGGCTCACGCCTGTAATCCCAGCACTTTGGGAGGCACAGGCGAGAGGATTGCCTGAGCTCATGGGTTCAAGACCAGCCTGGGCAACATGGAGAGACCTTGTCTCTACAATAAATCAAAAAGTTAACTGGGCATACTGGTGCGTGTCTGTAGTTCCAACTACTTGGAAGGCTGAGCCAGGAGAATTGCCTGAACCCGGCAGGTCAAGGCTGCAGGGGCCGTGAGCATGCCACTGCACTTCAATCTGGGTGGCAAAGTAAGACTCTGACTCAAAAAATAAGGAGGTAAGAGTTTGTCCCACAAAGAATAGGAAGATGGTGATGGATATTAAGCAGAGGATCTGCATAATCGGGTTTGCTCACAGAAAAGGGACACAGACCGCAGAGGGAAGAAAGACTTGTAGGTGGGAGCTGCAATTCGGGAGGCAGTTTGGAAAGACCTGGTAGAAACCTAAGTGTGAGACCATGTGGGTCAGGAGCACCTAGAGCCCAGCCCCAAATATGACAAAATGACACTCAGAGCTGGAGAGAAATGGCCACTTATTCAGGAAGCAGAATCCATGATCCAAGGCGACGAGATATGGGGATGGTAGACGGTGGAAAAATCAAGGAAGATGCCTTCTGTCTTGCAAAAAGTATGAAGACTGTCAGGGAGAGGGCAGCACAGAGCCCAGGGCAGCAGAATTGGAGCTTAACACACCTTGAGGTGCCTCTTTCCAGGGACAGGGAGACAGTGCAGGGGGCAGTTGGATAGAGGGATCAGGGGACATGGGCAAGTTGTCAAGCACAGAAACTTTGCAGAAGGATAAGACTCCAAAATATTGTGCTTCAAGTGAGAAGAGAGAAACCTAAAGTATAAAACGTACAGAGTCAGGTGCAATGGTCATGCCTGTAATTCCAGCACTTTGAGAGGCTGAGGTGGGAGGATTGCTTGAGCCCAGGAGTTCAAGGCTGCAGTGAGCTATGATCGGGCCACTGCGCTCCAACCTTGGTGACAGAGCAAGACCTGGCTCAAAAAACCAAAACAAGCCAGGTACAGTGGTTGACACCTGTAATCCCAACACTTAGGGAGGCCAAAGTGGGAAGATTAGTTAAGTCTAGGAGCTCGAGACCAGCCTAGGCAACATAGTGAGGACTCATCTCTACAAAAAAATTAAAAAATTAGCTGAGTGTGATGGCATGTGCCTGCAGTCATAGCTACTTGGGAGGCAGAGGCGGAAGAGTTGCCTGAGTCCAGGAGGTCAAGGCTGCAGTGAGCTGCGCTTGTGCCACTACACTCCAGCCTAGGTGACAGAGTGAGACTCCTAAAAAAAAAAAAAAAAAAAAAGACTGAACTGAGTGACTCAGCCTGTAATCCCACCACTTTGGGAGGCCGAGGCGAGTGAATTGCCTGAGCCTGAGGGTTAGGGACCAACCCAGGCAACTTGGCGAGACTTCGTCTCTACAATAAATCAGAAAATTAGCCAGGCGTGGTAGTGCACGCCCATAGTTCCGGCTACTTGGAAGACTGAGGTGGAAGGATCGCCTGAGCCCAGTGGGTTGACGCTGGGGTGGCCATGAGCATGCCAGTGCACTCCAGCCTGGGTGACAGAGTGAGACTCCAACTCAAAAACCCCCCCGCAAAACACAACAAAACATGCAAAGAAAGTTTGACCAGAAAAGCTGGACAATAAAGACGGCATCAGGGAAGTCAAGTTGCAGGACTGAGAGAACATTCAGCACTCACTGAGATGCCCGAGATGTAAGAATAAGTTGAAGATTAGGATGCCACCCCTTGGTGAGGACAGTCCAGTGGCACACCTGGTGCTGAAGCATCTTATGGAGGGTCATGGTTTTAGGGTCTGATCCAATAAATTGTCTGCTTATCTCATGGCAAATCAGAGATGAGAGGCAGAGAGCTGGAAGGAAATGGGTGTTTATTCCGAAACTGGGAATCAGGGAACCGGTTCATGTAGTCACCAAAAGTTCTGTTCAATCAGATAGATTTCGCATTCAATATTTAAGTTAAAACAGGCAATGCTGTTTTTTAAGTACTGATTAACAATGTCTATGTGTCCAGTGACCATTACCCAAAATCTTTCTTCATCAGTGTTAGTCTTCTCAGCACCTACTGACATAAACCAATGTCTAGATGACAACAATCTTTTTAAAAAATTATTTATTTATTTATTTAAAGTCAGAGTCTTACTCTGCCGCCCAGGCTGGAAGTGCAGTGGCATGTTCACAGCCATCGCAGCCTCAACCTGCTGGGCTCAGGCAATCCTTCTGCCTCAGCTTTCCAAGTAGCTGGAACTACAAGTGTGTGCTACCACACCCGGCTAATTTTTTTATTTATTGTAGAGATGAGGTCTTGCCAAGTCGCCCAGGCTGGTCTTGAGTCCTTGGGCTCAGGCAATCCTCTCACCTCTGCCTCCCAAAGTACTGGGATTCCAGGAGTGAGCCACCACACCCAGCTTAATTTTTAAAATTAATTATTTTAGTCAGAGTCTCACTCTGTTGCCCAGGCTGGAGTGCAGTGGCACTCTCGTGGTCACTGCAGCCTCAACCTGCTGGACTAAGGTGATCCTTCCACCTCAGCCTTCTAAGTACGTGGGACTAAAGGCACACACCACCACACCTGGCTAATTTTTTTTATTTATTGTAGAAATGAAGTCTTGCCACTTTGCCTGGGCTGGTCTTCAACCCCTGTGTTCAGCCAATCCTCTCCTCTTAGCCACCCAAAGTGCTGGGATTACAGGTGGACATCATCATGCCCTTGTTTCTTCTTTCCTTTTTTTTTTCCCTTTGAGGCAAAGTCTCAATCTATTGCCCAGACTGCTTATGGCCACTGCAGCCTTGATCTGCTGGGCTCAGGTGATCTTTCTGCCTCAGCCTTTCAAGTAGCTGGAACCACAGACGCATGTCACCATGCCTAACTCGTGTTGTTTGATTTATTTTAGAGATGAGGTCTCGCCAAGTTGCCCGTGCTATTCTCAAGCACTTGGACTCAGGCAATTCTCTCACCTTGGTCTTCCAAAGTGCTGGGATTACCGGTGTTCACGACCACGCCAGGCTTGTTTCTTTTTTAAGTTACATGTTTGTTTAAACAATTCTGTGATTCATTATTCAGTTACAGCGAGTTCTGGTTCACACAAGACCTGACTAATGACTGATTACACAGGATATGAATCTAAACTAAATCTCACAAAAAAGGGGTTTATATTTAAAGAAGTGAGCTTTAGGACGTTCCAACTGAGTTGATCTTTTTTTTTTTTTAACCAAAAGTAGTAGTTTATTAGCAACACAGAAAAGCTCCCGCAACAGGAGGGTACTTGAAAAGGGGTTGCCCAAGTTGATCTGTTATCTCACGAAAGCTTCTTCAGAGACATGTAACTGCTTCATTTATCATACTTGTTGTGACCAACTACTTTTTCTCCAGCACCAGCTTGCTAGATAAAATTGGCCTTCCAAACCAGTCAGGCAAGGCTGTGCTGGGAGAGGAGAAGGAGGGTTGCCTTTGAGGGCAGTGAGGTGGTGGGGAGGAAAAAAATATGCACTTTTAAATTAAAGCGGCTTCTACATTCAGCCAAACTCAGCCACAAAAGAAAGTTTCTTAATACAAATTTCTAAGTCTTTTTTCACAGCCTCCACCTGGTGGGCTCAGGTGATCCTTCCACCTCAGCCTTACAAGTAGCTGGAGGTACAGGCACATGCCACCATGCCTGGCTACATTTTTTGGTTTATGGTAGAAATGAGGTCTGGCCAAGTTGCCCAGGCTGGTCTTGAACCCATGGGCTCAGACAATTCTCACACCTCAGCCTCCCAAAGTGCCAGGAATATAGGCGTGAGCCACTACACCTGGCCATCTAAGTCTTTTTCAAATGACTGTTCTAATATAACCAAAATGGCCACTTTTCAGCCTGTAACAGTGGGACTCGTGGGAAGCCAGGGAGTCCAGACAATGACTATTTGGTTGAGAAGTGGAAGGAACAGGGGTAGTTTCGGGGAGTTTTGGGAGGGAATGACTTGGCAAGATTGGTGAAATTGATGGACCACAAAGTCTATGCTGGACAAAGAAAATTAGGAAAGGGCTCATGTGAACTTACTGAGTACTAATTATATGCTAGGCACTAAGCTGGACTTTAGGGATACAGTGGAAAACAGCAAAGGAAAGTTCTATGCCTTTAAGGAGCTTATGGCGATGGCAGAACTCAACAAGAAATGAAAATCTGTGTATTAGATGTATCTCCTGGTTTCCATGAACAGAAACCACCTTGTTATTTGACCTTGGAAGCTATGACTTCAGAGCCAAATAAGTCAGAAGACAGTCATAGAACCAATTGGATAGCATGGACCCAACAAACAGAAAGACTATAAAATTGTTTCAGGATAGGCACTTCAGGCAGTAAGTGGATTAGCTGAGGTTGTAGACCGACAACAGATATGAAAATTATGCAGTGACTAGCCTGAATCAGGGGCTGTGGATGGTGTGATCATGCCTTTTTGGAAATCTCCACCTTCCTAACATACCAGCTGTTT